TGTCGACTTTGCTGCTCGCAGTCGTCTAGACTACGCTGCTAGTCTCGTTGCTGAGTCTGAGTCTGTCTGTCCTCCGTCCGTCGGGGGTGAGTCCTTAAGGACAGGCAGGAGGAGTTCCAGTGTTTTGCTGCTGCTTTGCCTCATCTTGTGTCCACGCTGATTGCCCCTGAGGGAGACCCGGATGCACTTGAAATCCCGACTCCTCGATCGTACGCTGAGGCGATCGAGGGTCCCTACTCCTCACAGTGGTAGTCAGCCATGGACGCAAAGATGGCTTCCTGGAAGTCCACAGGCACCTACGTCGACGAGGTTCCCTCACCTGGGGCGAACATGGTCAGTGGCATGTGGATTTTCAGAGTGAAGCGGCCGCCGGGTTCTCCGCCTATCTTCAAGGCGCGTTACGTGGCTCGAGGCTTCAGTCAGTGGCAGGGAGTTGACTACTTTCAGACCTTCACTCCCACCCCGAAGATGACTACTCTTCGGGTGCTGCTACACATAGCCGCTCAGCGCGACTATGAGCTTCACTCTCTTGACTTCAGCACAGCTTTCCTGCAGGGCAGCCTGCACGAGGAGATCTGGCTGCGCCGCCCACCTGGCTTCATTGGGTCGTTTCCCCCTGGTACCCAGTGGAGCCTCCGGCGGCCAGTCTACGGTCTCCGACAGGCGCCCCGTGAGTGGCACGACACACTGAGGACTATACTTGCGGCTCTTGGGTTTGCTCCTTCTACTGCCGACCCGTCGCTGTTTCTGCGCACCGACACCTCTTTGCCGCCGTTCTACATCCTCGTGTACGTCGACGACTTGATCTTTGCCACTGCTGACACTGCTGGACTCGCCCACGTGAAGTCCGAGCTGCAGAAGAGACACACGTGCACAGATCTGGGTGAACTGTGCAGCTACCTTGGCTTGCAGATCACCTGGGACAGAGCACAGCGCACCATTACCCTGACTCAGTCACACATGGTGCAGCAGGTCCTTCAGCGCTTCAACTTCACGTACTCCTCGCCTCAGGCCACTCCTCTGTCTACTCGCCACTCGCTCTCAGCTCTGCCTTCGGATGAGTCCGTAGAGCCGAGTGGCCCGTACCCAGAGCTTGTTGGCTGCCTCATGTACCTGATGACCTGCACACGACCTGACCTTGCATACCCTCTTAGCATCTTGGCACGCTATGTTGCTCCTGGGAGACACCGACCAGAGCACATGGCTGCAGCGAAGAGGGTGTTGCGCTACTTGTGCAGTACGTCGGGCATGGGGCTAGTGCTTGGAGGGCGACGTCGAGTGGTCCTCACAGGTCACGCAGACGCTTCTTGGGCTGACGACCAGGCTACGCAGCGGTCGTCACAGGGTTACACCTTCAGCCTTGGTTCCGGCTCTTTTTCGTGGCGGTCTACCCGCTCGTCTTCTATTCTCGGCTCCAGCTGTGAGGCTGAGATCTACGCGAGGGCCATGGCTGCACAGGAGCTACGCTGGCTCACCTACCTGCTGACTGACCTAGGAGAGCCTCCTCGTTCTCCTCCAGTTCTGTACGTAGACAACAAGGCCATGCTGGCCTTGTGTCAGGAGCACAGACTGGAGCACAGAACGAAGCACATTGCTCTTCGCTACTTCCTTGCTCGTGAGCTGCAGCAGCGTGGTCAGCTGCGCCTTGCTTACGTGGCCTCTGAGGCCAACACTGCTGATATCTTTACCAAGGCACTTCCGCCTTGTGATCATCAGCGCTTCTGTACGATGCTAGGTCTTGTGCCTACTTGGCCTCACTTGCTCACTTCTTGACCTTGCTTGTACAGTGATCTTTCTATACCTGCACTTGCTTGTTTCCCTTTATATATGATCTTGCATGTGAACTGACCTTGTGGCCTTGAACTTGTGCTCGGAATGTGTGGTGACGTTGTGATGCACCCTGAGCTTGCTTTGCTTTGCTTGACTGGTCTTGTGACCTCTTGTTCTCCCCCACTTTGCCTATGGGGGTGTGTCAAACTGATATGCTATAGTCTGTGTAGGCTGTAGTGGGGTAGACAATATGGGGTACAACACTTTTAGGTTTTCCTACTTGTACCCACCAGCTTGCTAGTTCATTCATTCCTCATTTCTTTACAGAAAACCCCCGTCTTTTTTCGGTGTGAACAGTATCGGTGCGGCGAACGGTGACGAGCTCGGTCGGATGAATTTTTTCTCTAATAGTTAATCTAACTGCTTCCTTAGTTCGTCGAGGTCGGGCTGTATCAGTCTGAACTGGCGGTGTACGGTTGGCTGTGCCCCCGGTTCTATTTCGATTCGGTTGTCATGTGCTCGCTGAGGTGACAGTCCTTCCGATAAGTCGTCCGGAAAAATCCCGGGGTATCGTTTCAAGAGTTCCTGTAGTTCGGGCGGTACTGCTGCTAACAGTTTCTGAAAATCACTCGGCTGCTCTGCTTCTTCTACTACAGCAATTTCCACTGCATACACGTCAGCTCCAGCGGCGACCGCTCGTTTCATCGAGATGGCGTTGACGTGGACCGTTGAAGACTTGCCAGCGAGGTAGTTCAATCTAGTTACCAATACTTCGCACAGTGCAGCTTCCTGTCGTCCAGTCGAATCTCGGGTTGTATCGTCGCAGCCAATCACGTCCCAGTAAAATGTCGTGCCCATCCTGTGTTGTCGCGAGCATTTCCTGTGTAAACCTGAAGTTTCCCCCGCAACGAACTTTTACTCTTTCCACTTTCTCCCGTATGGCCAGCGTCGTGCCGTCAACTAAGCGTGCGTCTATCTCAGGTAAGCAACGGCTAAGTGTCAGTTGCAGATTCCGTGCGGTTGCGGTATTACCTAAACTGTGACTTTCTCCTCCATCGATAAAAATCTTCACTGCTGCTCCCTGTATTTTCCCGTGGATCAGTACTGGGCAATCCGTCGCTGTACCCTCCTTATTCATCCGAGCCCGATCGATGGCGTGAATCGATACTGTGACTCGGTCCGGGTCGGTGTGGTTGGGCGAGCAGGCAGTCTCGTCAGTAGTTGGCCCGATTCCTACTGACTGCTGGCGTTTCCCTGCCTTGGAGACTCCCTCCCCTACTCTGCTCCACGGCGCCTTAGCTCCTCTGGGCATTTAGTCTTGCGATGGCCCGGCCTATTGCAAGCAAAGCAGCGCCCCCTAAAGGGTGCGGCAGCTGCATTCGTCGCAACGGCGTGTACGGTGGCGTGCTCGATCGGTCCCTGAGGACGATGTCCGTAGTAGGACCCCGGTCTCGGACGGCGTAAAATGTCGATTTTCTCGGCGAGCGCGAGAATCTCGTTGAAGTTCGAGATCCCGCGTAGCATAATTTCGTGCGAGATGTACGGCTTCAGCCCTCCGACGTAACGGTCCACCCGCTCCGCTTCGTGCATGTAGCCGACTTGCTCACATAATGCGAGAAAACCACTCGTATAGTCTTGAACCGATACGAGCTGCTGCCAAGTACGCAATCTCTGACGCGCCGAAATAGAAGCCGCCATTGGCTTGAAGCGCGCCCGAAGCCCTGCGCACCACGCATCCCACGTGCTGTACTGGGCGGTCTCGCAGAATGAACTCCAGGTGACAGCTGGACCCGTGGGCCCTTCCTCTTGCGACGGTGGCTCGTAGGCGCGTGGCGACGTCACGATGACTCGCCACCAGTCCATGGCAGGGCCCCTTAGCAGCGAAATGGCATATCGAATCTTCGCTGCGTCCGACTCGACGTAATTTGCGTCGAAGAAGACGTTCATCGTGAAGACCCACGATTGAACCGTCGGACCTCCACGCTGGCTCGGGTCGAAGCAGGGCGGGCGTTGCGGCTTGAGCGGCATTGGTGCCATAATGGCTTGTTCACCACTTGTCGCCGCGAACTCTACGTGCCGACGGGCTTCACGAGGCTCCCGCGGGCTTGGTGCGACCCTGTTTCCTCCCATGCCAGGCATCGGCTGGGCGGTGCCATCACTGGCTGCGCCTGCGCTGTCCCACACTGTTGTTTTGTGTTGGTGTGCCGGACAAGATGACGATCGGCTCGTCCGATTGTGCAGATGCATTTGTCGGTGTGTGTGGTGGCGCTGGAGTATTCACCGTTGATTGCTGACGCGCGGAGTCACGTTCCGCCGTGAGCGTCGCAATTTCGAGTGCCGAATCTTCAAGTTGGCGCACCAGACGGTCGAGCTGCTCCTGCGTCAATGTTGCGAGCGTGAAATCAGCCATCGCGGGGGTGTCGGGCGAGCTCAGCGAGAGCCTCGGTCGTGGCCGTGCGTGCTTACAAGAGAGCACTACGAGCGGCGGTGCTGTGTCGCTGAGAGACGTTTACCCCCCAAAAATTGAGACAGTGGGGACGCAAAGGTGTGGGTGCGGTCCGAGAAGAGATCGTAGGCTCCGAATACCAAGTGTTACGAGTGCAATTGAGTGAGCGAGCGAGAATTGCACTATCGAAGCAACGAAATACAATGAGCGAAGGCATGAGCGAAGAATATATAGCGAAACTACAGTAGTAACGGTAATGGACTGTGGTTGTCGCGTGACGGGCCTGGGACTGAGGTTGGGAAAAGTGTCGAAGCGGAGGCCCGGAGCGCGGGTTACCCGCCGAGCCGTGAGGTCGGGGTGCGACATGCGAAGGTGGCGGGAGGATTGTCGATGCGAGAATTGCGAGTGGTAACGGTGCTGACTGTGGGGCTACAGTGGTGTACGCGCTGAGCGGGGACGCGAAGTAAGGAAAAGGAATTTTCCTTACAGAAACAAAAATATTCTATGCACAAGCCAGCTGTTGACATTTCCTTCGGGTGTTAGCTTGATTGATAAGAACGCTTTCAATCAATCCACCGTGTGCGGATTAAATACATGTAGGATAGATTTCCCGAGTCCGAGCCTGCTTTCATAGATCCTCTCACAGCCTCGCCGCTGCGACTGATATTTGCAGCTGCTGATCCCTTCACCACCAGCATCCAACTTCCACTCAGCAAAGTAAAATGCAGTTCATTTTGCAGCAACCTCTGCCACTGCCCCGTTTTGTTGGCCCCCCTGCTCGTTTTCATAGACCTGTTCCTGTAGCTGCGCTTGCTCTTGCTCCTGCCATTCCTGTTTTTGCTGCTCCATTTCTACTTGATGCTGCGTCTGCCCCATTGACAGCTGCACTCTTAAACAACCTAGCATCCAAACTCTTACACTCCCCCTCTTTCCCATTGCTGCTGCTAAGTTCGGTGATTTTCCGAACCTGCACCACCGAGTTGAAAGACACCCGCCGCTTGTGCCCAGGCTCGGCAACAGGTCCGGGACAAGCCTTGGGAACAGGCTGTGAGGCAGCCCGTACCACGCTGTGCTGAAGGCTTGGAAGTGCCTCGGAAATGGCTCGGATGGTTGGATTCGAAGAAGACTTGGGATAAATGGATCGAGGGGAGGTGTCTAGAGCGGTGGAGATGGTTTTAAGTGGATAACTTTCAAACAAACCAGTGCCATTCGGGGATGTAGCAGGGTCGGAGGGAAAAGAAGGGTCGGAGGGAAAAGAGGGAGCAGAGGGAATGGGAAAATTGGAGGGATCGGAGGGATCGGAGGGAATTGAGGGAAGGGAGGAGGGTGAGAGGAGGGTCTGACGGGCTCTGAAGCTGCTGTGTGTCTGCAACTGGAGCGACCGTTGCTGCTGCCGGTGCTGTTGCTGGTGTTGCTGCTGCTGCTGCTGCTGCTGCTGCTGCTGCTGGTGCCGCTGTTTCTGCAAGCGATCCTTCCGATTCGCCCTCTCCCCATCCGCCTTGCCCGCTCTCATCTTCTCCCCGTCATCTCCCTCCCCATCCAATTCCAGGAGGCTGGGCAGGCGCGGACTGTTCACCTCTGCCGATGGCTCATGATTACCCCGGCACTGTTCATCCTGCTCCCACTGCTTTTTTGACCTGGCAACAGCTGACCGCACTCGAGGCGAGGCGAGCGCTCTCACAACCAGGCTGTTGCGAATGCCGGCAGTACTGGCACAGCTGGTAGCACTGGCAGTGCTAGCAACATCGCTGGTGGTAACAATGCTGGTAGCATCACTGGTAACAGAGGCAGAGCGCACTCGAGGCGAGGCGAGTGCTCTCACAACCAGACTGTTGCTAACGCTGGTAACATCAAGTGTGCCGGTGGTAACCGCAATTCGCCTGCTGCTGCTGCTGCTGGTAGCATTGCTGCTTGTAACATTGCTGCTTGTAGCATTGCTGCTGGCAGCATTGCTAACAGCTGAAGCAGAGGCGGGTGCGTGCACTGAAGGCAACGCAAGAGAAGCAGGTGGCTTTGAAGCAAGTGTGTACTGCGCCACAGGCGCAGCATACAGATCACCAAACCGGTAGGCATCCAAACCATCCGAAACCCTCTGCACCGCACCCAAGTCATCGGAAACCCTCTGCACCGCACCCAAGTCATCGGAAACCCTCTGCACCGCACCCAGAGATGCCATTTTGCGTAGAATCCGGGGACGGGTGCGCAGGGATGGAGAGGGCTGATTGTCTAGTAGACGGGCAGTTGGAGGAGCAACGGCAAGGGGAGCTGGCCGGACAGCAGGGGGAGCAGGGCGAATGGCAGGGGGAGCAGGGCGAATGGCAGGGGGAGTAACAATGGGAGTTTCATGGGGAGTTGAAGCTTGGGGAGTGGGAGTGTAGACATGCGGAGAAGATGCGGAGGGGGGGAAAGATGGAGTAGCAGGGACCGCAGAAGGAAGAGCAGCTGTGGCAGATGGTGAGAGCATGTGGGGATGAGAGTCTCGAGTATGGGGAGTGTAGACATGCGAAGGTGCCGAGGGGGAAAAACTGGGAGGAGAAAGGAGAGGAGCAGGGGGAGGAACAAAGGAAAGTGCAGGGGGAGGAGCAGGGGACGGAGGAAAGGAAAGAGCAGAGGGAGGAGCAGGGGGAGGAGCAGGGGGAGGAGCAGGGGGAGGAGCAGGGGGAGGAGCAGGGGGAGGAGCAGGGGGAGGAGAAGGGGGAGTAGATGTGGCAGTATCGGCTATAGGCTTTCTGACTGTTGCGCCAGCATTCCCTGTAACACCCGTTCCCTCTCCTAACTCCTCTCCTGACCATTCTCCCTTCAACCACTCTTCCTCCTCCTCCCACTCTCCCTCCTCTTCCCACTCTCCCTTTAACCACTCTTCCTCCTCTTCCCACTCCCCTTTCAACCACTCTTCCTCCTCTTCCCACTCTCCCCCCTCCCCCGTTACTGGATCATAGCAGGTGTCTTCTCTTCCACTGTGAAGGTCTGTTTTCTGAGACGTCTTAAAAGCTGGCCTCCCAACACACGCACCTTTCTCTCTGCATCCTTGCCTCCTCCTCACCACATCTGCTTCTCCCCCTCGCTCTCGCCCACCCCTCACCATATCCGCTGTATGGGAACGTCGAAGGCCCCGCTCCTGCCCCCCTTCCCTCATTCCTCCTCTCCCTCCTCTCCCTCCCCTCTCTCCCCTCCCTCCTCTCCCTCCCCTCCCTCTCCCTCTGCTCCCAACTCCTTCCCTCCCTCCTTCCCTATCCTTGCCTCTACCTCTCCCGTCGCCTCTCCCTCTCCCCACACCTCTGCCTCTCCCCCCACTACCTAGCCTCCCCATTCCCCTTCCCCCGTATTCGTCCCCCCTTGATTTCTCCCCCTTCTCTCCCTCTCTTCCTTCCATCCCTTGCTGTTCCATCCACTCCTCTCGTCTCCCACTCATCCCCGCACCCCGCTCACCCCTTCCCACTTCCACTCTCCCACTTCCCCCCTCCCCATTTCCGTCTTCTCTTCTCACACTTCCCCTCACCCCCCTTCCCTCTTCCGTTCTCCCATTTACTCCTCCCTCCCCATTCCCCGCACCCCCTCTACCACCTCCCCTTTCCACAGGCATACTTAAAGCACGGGCCATTTGCCTCCTCTCACACCAACCACCTCTCCCTCCTCTCCCTCTACCCCCCTCCACTTCCCTCTGCCCTCTTCCCCCTCTACCCTCTCTTCCTCCTCTCCCCCTCCCATATCCCCTCCCCCTTGGTCCTCCTCCCCCTCTTCCCCCCATTCTCTCCTCCTCCTCTTCTCTCCCCCCTCCTCGCGTTTTCATCCCAGTATCAACCACCCTCCTCTCCTCCACCCCAGCACTAGCAGGCCTTGCACCTTTAAGCGTCACTTTTAAACTCTCCGCTCGTCCAAGCTCCCTGCTCCCATTCCCACCAGCAGTAGCACTAGAAGGCCGCGCCCTTTTAAGAGTCACTCTTAAACTCTCCGCTCGTCCTAGCTGATTTTCCCTGCTCCCATTCTCATTCCCACCACCAGCAGCAGCAGGCCTTGCACCCTTAAGCGTCACTCTTAAGCTCTCCACTCGCCCAAGCTCCTTTGCCCAGGCCCCATTCTCAGCAGCAGCAGCAGAACCAGGCCGTTCACCTCTAAGCATCACTCTTAAGCTCTCCGCTCGAGCAAGCACCTGAGCCCTGCTCACACCAGAGGGGGCTCCCTGCCCTGCCTCATTCCGCTTGCCCTCACTCCGCATTTCAACTTCCCCACAACTGCCCCTCCTCTGAAGCCTCCTGCTACTCCCCTGTTGTTCCTCTGACCCTTCCCTTCCTTCCCGCATTTCAGCCTCCCCACAGCTACCCCTCCTCTGCAGCCTCCTGCTTCCTCGCCCCTCTCTCACTCCTTCCCTCTCTCCTCTTTCATCTGACCCTTCTCCCATTCCGCTCCGCATTTCCACCTCCCCACAGCTGCCCCTCCTCTGTAACCTCCTGCTCCCTCGCTCCTCTCCCCTCGCGTCCCTCTCTCCTTCATTGCCCCCACCTGCAATGCTGCGTCCACGCAACTCAAACGCCACTTTCCCGGTCCTCTCATGCACAGACTGGCCCCGCCTGTGCTGCCCTGTCGTGTTTGCTCTTTTCAACACCCGACCTCCACCATCACTTCCCCCTTCCGTCTCTTTCCCTCCACTTCCCCCCCTTGCCCCTAACCACACCCCTGCCCCATCCGTTGGCCCCTGAACCCCCTCCCTTCTCCCACTGCCCCTCTCTCTCCGACCCCTCTCGTCATCGCTCCCTTCCCGTTCACACTCCCACTCCCTCCTCTCCCTCCTCTCCATTGTCCGTGCCCCTCTAGCAACCTTAGAAAGCCACGCACTCCCCTCCTCTTCCTCCTTCATCCTCCCCATCACACCACACCTCAACCCACTCAGCCACCCACTCCTCCCATCAGTGCAACTCATCTCACTTCCGTCCAACTCACTTCCGTCCAAATCGCTGCCTCCCAAATCACGACCGCTTACCAACACATCTGCAAGTCCACTATCCCCCTCTGATGCTTCATCCTCCTCCACCTTCTCCCTTCCTCTTTCCTCCTCCTCATCCCCCACACTAACAACGTCTGCATCTCCTGCCCTCCTCCCCGTTTCCTCGTTCCTCCCCTCCCTCCTCTCCACCTCTCTCCTCTCCTCATCCCTCCTCTCCGACTCTCTCCGCTCCTCCCTTTCCTCTCCTTTTACCTCGCTCCTCCCCACTCTCCCACCCTCCTCCTCCACACTATGCGTCCTCACAGCCCCCCCACCGAGCCCACACACGCGCAGCATGCCCAGGGAAGCAAGAGTACGGGGCGATATCAACGAGTCACTGCGGGCCCTGAACCTCATCCCTCTCTTCCGTTCAGACGTCTCAAAAGTCCCACCCTTCCTCCCCTCTCCCTCCTGCCCGCGGCTCTTCCTGTCCCAACCGTGGGAGCCGAGCACGCGAGGAGAGAGAAAGTCGCTTCTCTTACTCTCGTGACCGTTGCTCTTCTCGTCACAACCAGGCGAAGGAAGGACATGAGGAGAGACAAGGCTACTAGCTTTCCTCTCATGCCGCTCCTCTATGCCTTCTATTGAAAAATCTTCACTTCTTCTCTTCTCATCCTGCCCCGTTCCTGAGAATTCGCTTCTGCTCCTCTCATGCCTGCTCCCTCTCTTGCTGCTTCCGGTGAGGCTTCCGAACCTGCCGTGCCCAAACCTGTTGCTACCCAACCTGCCGCTCCTGCTGAAGCTGATGCCGCTGCTGCTGCCAGGGCTGCTGCTGGTGCCGTGGCTATTGGGTAAGTGGAAACAAGCAGCAGCAGCAGCAGCAGCAGCAGCAGCAGCAACACCAGCACCACCATTGTCACTTTCAGCATCAGGTAACTCAGGATATGAAATATTACCACTAGAAGCAGTACCTGCACTCGCTTTCTCCCCTCTTCTCTTATCGATAGGTTTCTCCTCTTCCCCAGTTACCACATCTCCCCCTCCCTCCTCTTTCTCCTCCTCCTCCTCCTGCTCCACTTCTGCTGTTTCCTCCTCTCTCTTCACCCCTGGTTTCCCTGTCCCCTCTTCCTCCCTTTGCCACTTCTCCCCCACTTCCTCCTCCTCCTCATCATCAACAGCACCACCATCAGCAACATACTCATACTGGTTACCAACGTGGTTACCAGCAGTGTACGGACCAGGTGCCTGCATCATGGGAGCGTCAGGTGCTTCAGGCGATTCAGGTGCTTCAGGTGATTCAGGTGGTTCAGGTGCTCTTCCAGGTGATGTGTGCGACTCAGGTGGAATCATGCGAGATGCAGGGGATTCAGAAGCACCATGCAGGTGGGGTTTGGGGGAGGGAGACTTGGTGTGGGAAGGGCATGGAAGATTTGCTGCAAGCAGGTGGGGTCTGGGGGAGGTAGATCTGACGTAGCGGGGGGAGCATGGTTTCTGTGGCGCCCGGGGCATCTCAAGGTTTGCTGCAAGCGGGTGCGTTCTGGGGGAGGGAGATCTGCTGTGGTGGGGTTGGGGTGGCAATGGCATTCGAGGCGCCTCAAGATTTGCTGCATCCAGGTGGGGTCTGGGGGAGGGTGATTTGGTGAGGTGGGGGAGGTATGGCAAGGGGGAAATCTGAACCACCATGCTGAGTGCATCATCCTCCCCCTCACATTCCTCCTCTTCCCCCTCACATTCCTCCTCTTCCCCCTCACATTCCTCCTCTTCCCCCTCACATTCCTCCTCTTCTTCTTCCTCCTCTTCCTCTTCATCCTCCCCCTCACATTCCTCCTCCTCCTCCTCCTCCTCCTCCTCCTCCTCCTCCTCCTCCTCCTCCTCCTCCTCCTCCTCCTCCTCCTCCTCCCACTCTCCTTCTTCCCCCTCCCCTCCTTCCTCCTCGTCCCCTCCCCACTGTCTGTGTGCCACGTCAGACCCTGGGACCTCCTCACTGAACTGCTGACGTGGCGAGAGCTGACGTGGCAGCTGCTCCTGCTGCCACTGAAAGCTTTGCTTTTGGGGGGGGCGGAAGGGGGAATCGCGGGGAGGGCGGGGGGAGGCCAGAACGCGGAGGAAGGGGGAGTCGGGGGGAAGGGGGGAGTCGGGGGGAAGGGGGGAGCGTGGGGTGAGGACGGGGGGAGTGAGAGGCGGGTGTTTGAGGGAGTGGGGAGTGAGTGGAGCTGGGTAATCCTGTGATGACAAAAGGCTGCGATCGAGAGTGCACACTCCCTTCCCAACCTCCTGCCCTTCCTTCCCCTCCTTCCCCTCCTTCCCCTCCTTCCCCTCCTTCCCCTCCTTCCCCTCCTTCCCCTCCTTCCCCTCCTTCCCCTCCTTCCTCTCCCTCCTCTCCCTCCCCTCCTTCCCCTCCTTCCCCTCCTTCCCCTCCTTCCCCTCCTTCCCCTCCTTCCCCTCCTTCCTCTCCCTCCTCTCCCTCCCCTCCTTCCCCTCCTTCCCCTCCTTCCCCTCCTTCCCCTCCTTCCCCCTCTGCTCCTCCTGCTCTTTGCACACCGAATCCGCGTTACAAGATTCTTCCATATAACCACCTGTCCCTGCGATTAACTTTATCTCACCCTCACTCATCCCCTTGCCATCCTCCTCCTCCCCTTTCTTCCTCCCTTTCTTCTTCCTCCTCCCCTCCTTCACCACACTCACTCTACACTCATCTGGTGTCACATCCACCCACTCACTCACAAACACCTCTGCACCCCTTTCTCGATTTAAGCACCTTCGATTTAGCGACACCCCTTCCTCCCCATTACTACCAGCATCCATAATTCCTCCCACACTCCCGACTCTCCGCATTTTCCCAAGCCTCCACTGAAACTTCAATCTGCTGCTTCGGCCGAGGCTGCCGTTTCCGAGCCTTTGGCTCCCCCCAGTACCGAACCTCGAGAGGCTGTCGCTACCGAACCTAGGCACGCTCTGTCTGCCGAACCTGGCGAAACTGCCGCTGCCGAGCCTATGTACGCCACTGCTGCTTTCGCCACTCCCCTCATCCTCCACATAAGCACCCCAATCGAATCCCGAAATCAAAGTCGAAATAAGATTAGAGTTAGTGTCATAATCAATAATGGTATTAGGGCCCCCATGTCCGGGTGCAGAATTAGGCCGAACCACCAACCGCTGCTGCTGCTGGTTTGGAATCATTTCAAAAAGCCCATCTGCTGTTATGCTGCAAATGCCATCCAAAGTCTGCCGCCCGCTCTTCTGCCGGCCGGAGATTGCACGTCCAGCACTCTGCATGAGCCGTGCAGCTGTTTTGTCTTTCCTCGTGAGCTTACCTGAAGGGGGAACAGGAGAAGCAGATGCAGCAGCACCAGCAGCAGCAGCGGCAGCAGCAGTGGCAGCACGGGTGATGGCTGGATCGCCATGGCCATGCCCCAAGGAATCCTTCCCACAAGCTTCGATCCATGCAAGATCCATACCGTCCACTGCTCGATATGCACCGTCCAAGACTCGATCTGCACCGTTCAGAGTTAGATCCGCCCCAACTGCTGCTGCTCGATCCATATCACGTGCTGACGGTTCACACACCCACAGCACAGAGCCATCACCATCCCCTGTGCCTTGACTCAGCTGCGCCGAGCCTTTCCCCTGAGTTAACTGGGACGAGCCGGTTCCTCTCCCCCCTCCTTCCCCGTTTTCCGTTCGTTCTCCTATCCTGCCTTTCCCTGCTTCCGCTCTTGTCGCCGCTTTATCCGCCACCTCCTCCGCCTCTCCCTTTTTCAATCCCCTTCTTCCAGTTCTCTTTCTCGCGCTTTCTCCCGTCCCCTCTTTTTCCGCCGCATCTGGCGCCAGAAAGGGCGGCTGCGCGTCGCCGCTTCTCAACTGCGATTGTCGAAATGCGCTCCTCGCGTTCCTGCTTGGATGCGCGCGCACCTGCGCGGGCCGCCACGTGGCACCTGTCGATTGGCTCGTGCTGCTGCCCGGGGAAACGCCCGCCTGACTGTGACTGCCGCCGGGGGAAGGCGCGTCTAAGGAAGCGGGAAACTGCGCGCGCGCGGAGGAAAAATCGGGGGACTGCGCAGTGGCGGAAGGCGCGCTGGCGGAAAGTTGCGCGCTGGGGGAGAGCTTCTCGGAGAAGGCGGGGGATGGTGCGGAGCGAGGGGAAAAAACGCGGGGAAAGGGGGGACGGGGGGAAGGTCGTGAGCCGGGGCTATTTGGGTGCGTATCGGCGGCGGGGGGACCAAAAGCCGAAGGTTTTACGCGCGCGGGCGTGGCGGGGGAGCGCAATGGCGGAGCAGTGGGCTGCGGGAAGCGCACAAAAACCTCCGCGGGAGCTTCCGCGGGGTCCGATAGGGAGGGCTGGGCGACTTGCGGAGGCGCAAGGGGGGGCCGACGGGGGGCGGAACGGCGGCGGGACGACGGGGAACGCGGACTCGGGGGAAGGTCGATGTGCAAAGCGGCGGCTGGCGCGCGGATTGAGGGATGCGGTGCTTGCGAAGTCATTTGCGACGTCATTCGCGATGTCATTCGCGAAAACCTACGCGACAAAGAGACCAGAAATTGCCGCGGGGGTGAGTGCGGGAAGGGGACTGAGCGCGAGGAATGCGCGGAAACGTGGGGAGCCCGCGGAATGGGAGTAGCGCGCGGAACGGAAGGGAGCGCGCGGATTGGGGGGAGCGAGCCGCGTAGCAGTGCGGGGGAAGAGCGGAGGGTGCGTGCGGAGTACGTCGTCTGCCGTTTACACCGAATTCGGCGACACGCGCCGCGAGTTGCGTTTCTCCGCGACAATCCCCCGAGCCCTTTCGCGAACTCAAACGGTAACTGCTCCGCCTTCCTGAAAATCCCCAGGGGAACGCGGACCCAGCAGCGGTGCGAAAGCCGCTAGAATCCCGCTCTTCATTCCCCAGAAATTGCCGCGGGGGTGAGTGCGGGAAGGGGACTGAGCGCGAGGAATGCGCGGAAACGTGAGGAGCCCGCGGAATGGGAGTAGCGCGCGGAACGGAAGGGAGCGCGCGGATTGGGGGGAGCGAGCCGCGTAGCAGTGCGGGGGAAGAGCGGAGGGTGCGTGCGGAGTACGTCGTCTGCCGTTTACACCGAATTCGGCGACACGCGCCGCGAGTTGCGTTTCTCCGCGACAATCCCCCGAGCCCTTTCGCGAATTCAAACGGTAACTGCTCCGCCTTCCTGAAAATCCCCAGGGGAACGCGGACCCAGCAGCGGTGCGAAAGCCGCTAGAATCCCGCTCTTCATTCCCCACAAATCGCTACCGCTCGCACAATGGCGTCACGAATTCAGGGCATCTAGCGCGAACGACGTCAGGAATTAACATTCTGACTGCATCAACCATCGGAGTCGCGGGCTCCTTTGCGGCTTTAGGGGCTCCTTTGCGGCTTCACGGGCTTGGCTACTTATATAATGCTCCTGAAAGAAAGACTACGCTGATCGGATTGAGAGTAAGGGGACTATGCTGATCGGATCGAGAGTAAGGGGCGTTGAGTCGAAGATGCAGAATCTACCTCCGAGGTACCGAAAAAACGTCGATGGACCTTTAGACGGACCTACAGTGCATCGCCACGTGGCAGCAGGGTTTGCTACATGGAGCCCGAGCAGATAGCCGTTGGCAAGTGCTCAGAAACACCTCCCGAAAGAAGATGGCATAAATCGTAGAAGACGCACTGGTAGCGTCTGCTGGTGCTAGGCAGGCTGTACCTTCCCGTCGATTGCGGCGTGCAATCCCCGTGGGATTGAGACTTCGTTCTCTAGTCGCGTCGTAAGAGCGCGTTCATTCAAGTGCATAGCGACAAGTTTTAATAGTTTTTATACACAAACTTGTCTTTCACCGTTCGAGAAGGCGCCATTTTTGTGAAACACAGATAACGCCGTCCCTTTTTGTTGGTAGATTCAGGAACGCGTCCTTCGGTTCCTTCTGTTCGTGAAAGCATTCGTGTCACGTGACTGACACCCATTTGCGAGCTGAAACATGACAGAAAATTGCCGCGCCGTGCCGTCGCGCTGCTTTCCTTGGCTCGTCATGTTCGTTGGGAGATGCGTGAGTACGGTACGGTACGGAACTTCCCTTTCCGTTTCTGTACGATACAGTGCCTCATTTGTCCAATCCCCTTGGCAGGCCACTCGCTGTCAGCCACGCGAGACTGCTGAGTCAGCATGCTGCCTCCCGGGCGACAAATTCTATAATCTCACAAGACGACAATCAAATTCTCAGGACTACTTTATTACGCGAGCACACCCTAATTTCTCACCCTGAATCCACATCCTCGTTTCAGAACTGAAACCACACTGACAAATGAAGCCGCACAAAGATTCGAGGTGACAGGATGTTGAGACTACATCTGGGCGGAGATGAGTAAGAAAATCAACATAAACATTTTCGTTCATACAGCCTCAATGGCCGCACCCCTATCGCCACCCACACCTTCGTAAGAAGTCTTGGAAAAGTCATTGACTTTCACAAGAAGCAATTCTGTAGACTCGTTGACCTGGTTTGCAAACAGTTGGTACGAAAATTTGGCACTGTGTAACTGTACTGTATTGCACGTCCAGCCATGTGGTCCATAGGTCTTTACGCGTACGTGATATAGAGAAGTCTTATTTAGAATTAAATGTAGATTGTTTGGGGGATCAGAATTCCAGTTACGAAATCTCTAACTGAAGATGATAATTGAAGAAATTAGCGATGTGCCTGCTGGATCGCGCCCTACTGCTCCAAAAATAATCGCGATTAGGGGGACGTCAGGTTGTACAGCTTTTTGTACGCCCTCTCTGGTAAACTTCGTTTCAACACGGTGAAGAGCGGTAATTGTCAAGAACCGCTTTTCACCGTGTTAGACCGTCCTAAACCACGATACAGGAACTGTAAGCGCGTGTTAAGTGTATAACCCGACGTCGCCCTTAGCGTCTCGCAGGGCTCGCTTGAACAGCTGCATCCGTTGTAAAAAAATATCGGGTGCTCATATGCCAGTCATCCGCGATGCAAGCTGCCGCGACATTAGCGCTGCCGGCGTCGCCCGTACATGGCTCCGCGATCTGCTGGTCGCACGAGAACCTGCTGGCTGCAGCGTTGGGCCCGCTTGTCGTTATAACGGTTCGCTATCTTAACTCCTCCCTCGTCGTTATTAGGCGCCGTGCTCGTAACTCCCCGCTCGTCGTTACCCGCCCCGTGTCCTCTTCTTCCCCCCTTGTCCTAACGTGGCCGCTCCTGCTTCTGCTCATCCTTCTCCTCCTGCTCGTCTCCTTGCTTTCCAGCCCCTCCGCTTCTCCTTCTCTTTGCTCAGCGGCTTTTGAGGCGCCTCAAAAGTCATGTCCTAACGTGGCTGCTCGTTCCTCCTGCTCCTCTCCTTGCTTTTCACCCTCTCCGCTTCTCCTTCTCTTCGCTCAGCGGCGTGAGCCATCATAGCCATTTTAGCGCGCTCGTGTTCTCGGCACCCTACATTGTCTCAGCGCCTTACAATATGTGAACACTGAGCACCCACAATCCTAGCTGCGAAGATTGTGGGTGTTCTCAGCATCCTATTGTCTCACCACGCTCGTTTTCTGGACACCCTACATTACTCAATACCGCATCCTCTCAACACCGCGTATCTGCACCCCACAACCGTCCAACACCCAGAAGCTAGAATCTGATCCCAACACCTAAACTTATGCTCGCATTGCCATTCCCATATGCTGCCGTCACCAATTCATCCTCGTTACAAGAATCCTCCACCAAACACCCAATCACTCTCTCCCCAAGCCTCTTTCACCTTCCAACTCCTCCTGTTCCCGACTGTCTTCCAGAACCCGGCCAATCTTAAAGGGCCACGTGGCTTCATCCTGTTGCAGCCGTCGGATTCTCTAGATGCCCAGATCAACGGTCACGTGGCTGACTCAGGTTAGCTGACTACCAAACCCTCATCTAAGGAGTTACTAAACATGTCCTCCTCATCCTCTCATAGCTGTTTTTCTGAGAGGATAAACCAGCTGTAACCCAGCTGTAACCCAGCTGCCTCCCGACCTCCCTGCGTTCATATCTCCAAGGTGACTTTTGAGTCGACTCAAATGTCACCCAGCTGTAACCCAGCTGCCTCCGGACCTCCCTGCGTTCATATCTCCTGCCTTTCCCGGCTGACCTCCCATCCGCTCTCCCTTGCCAGATCTACCTGCCCCAGTCCTCACCTCCCTGCGCCTGCATGCCGACTCTGCTCTCTCCGTTCGCTCCCTCACCTGGTCCCCGCTGCTCCCCCACTCCATCCTGCAACGCGGGTACGACCCTGGCAGTTGACTGGCTTTCACTGCTCGTCGCTGCTCTTGAGTTGACTGCTGCTGTTGACCGAGGCTGACTTGTATCCATGTTGGTGCGTATTACTGGCTAAGTGTCCCATTTCTCTTGCAAACTTTCCTTGCTGGGATTGGCCCTTTTCATAGGTTGTTTGGAAGGCCACACATCGTTTGTGTTTTACACCCCTCCCTCCCCACTCCCCTCGACCCCCCCCCCCCCCCCACACACACACCACTCCCTACACCAATCACCAGCTGCCAGCTGGCAGTGTGCTCCACAGATGGCCGGCTGAGAGTGTTCAGAGCGCCCGTGCAGGAGGCAGGCTCCAAGTGGATCCAGGTGAGTCTCCAGGTGACCTTTCAGGTCAATTTCCAGGTGACCTTTCAGGTGACCTTTCAGGTGAGTTTCCAGGTGAGCTTTCAGGTGAATTTTCAGGTGAGTGAAACGTTGGAGTCGCCTGCGTTTTGAAACAGGCCAGCTTTTTAGGTGCCTCATAGGTGACCTGACCTGGATGTCTTACGTGATTGAAGTCATTGGCCTTTCCCCCCTCACTGTCTGCCGGTTTGAGACATCTCAGATTCTTCTTAAAAGACATTTTCCTTGCTTGGGCCTATGAGCGGAGTGCATAGGTGACATATGTCAAAGCCTTTCCTCCCTCGCTGTCTGCCCTTTTCACTCACTCCCATTCGCCGGCCCTTGTGCGCACAGGTGGCGGATCTCTCTGTGACCCTTACTGCTCATTTGAGAGACACGTGGCAGAGCCAGACACGTGGCAACAATGAGAAGGTGACACGTGGCAGTGATGAGAAGGTGACATGTGGCAGCGATGGGAGACTGCCACGTAGCAGGGATGACAAGGAGACACGTGGAGCACAGGTGGACAAGAGCAATGGGAGGGACGGCAGCATTGCAGGCGGAACAGGTGGTAAAAGGACACGTGGCAGCAATCAGAGCGAGCAGAGAAGTTTAGGTGAGGAGGAGGCGGTGGGGAGAACAGGGAGGAAGAGGAGAAGGGCGGAGAGGTATGGGGAGTGTGCGGAGGGGGGAGACAAAGGGGGGGGAGAAGAGGGAGGGGGGAAAGAGAGTGAAAGCAGTGAGGAGGAGGATGCTGAGGAGGGGGAAGAGTGGGAGGGCGATGCAGAGGGGGAGGAGGAGGAGGAAGTGGAAGATTGTGATGAGGAGGAAGGTTGGGAAGAGGAGGAAGATGAGAGGGAGGCGGGTAAGAACGCTGGGAAAGTCGCAGCAGGAGTAG